GTTTTACAACGTCGTTGCCAAGCGACGAAAACCCAACCCCGATGGCAAAACACCGGGGGGGGCATAGGGGGGGCGGGGCAGTCAACTTCTTCGTAGAACCGACCGACGTTAACGATAAGCCTCGAAACATTCACCAGAAGCTAACGTTGCCGTGAAGGGAGGAGTATTTAGATGCCGTCCACCTACCCAAAAGGAGGACTATACTAGTGCTGCTGACGCTGTATCAGAGGTATGACAACGTGTGCCGACTCTCTCAATTGGTCCTCGAGGAATGCAGACGTGCCCGCCGAAAACCAACACAACAAGGAGACATACAACTCAGGGTGGAAGGACCAAACACTGGTACCGGCAAGCAGCAGCCGCTGCATACATGGCACAGCAAGGTAGCCAGTTCACAGCACCATAGCACCTGCTGCAAAAGACAGCGGTGTACCTACTGCTGTATGGTATCTAGCGAAACGAAGGCAACACTGCGGGCAGGACCCGGGACCTCGCCTGCATGTGCCGCAGGTGGTGAGCGACGTCCCTGACCGTCTTCTTCGGCAGGCCAGCGGCGATACGGATGTAGATGAGCATGTTGCTGTGCTGATCGTGTGAGTAGTAGCGCAGGCCGTCCTCGAGCACCCTCTGCTCGTTCTCGTCCCACGACGATGACCCCACCTTCGCACGAACCGGCCCGTGATCGATCGAATGTGAAGGTTAACAATTCGCACTTCGCCGAGGCGAACGTTTTAAGTCTCCTCTTTTGAAACGTTCCGGCCTCTGTTCAGTGCATACCTTCAACTGTGAGTACCGGTGCAACTGACGCAGATGCCTTTCGTGGTCACAGGCCAACTACCGTACCGCTGTATGGATGAGAAAGCTCGGAACTCTGATGCAAATCTTCGCATCTTCACACCTACAGCAGTAGCGCAGGCGTCGTGGGGGCTTCCGCAATAAAGGATGCCAAAATGCCATGTACCAGTAATTCCTTGGGGGTGGAAGTCAGGTGAAGTTTGAATGGATCAGCGAAAGCAGACAATATATCCGGGAAGTCATCTCTCGCAGCGACTGGGTGCAGTTGGTACTCTTCCTCTACCGTCCGTGCGCTGTAAGCGCATTTTTTCCGCGCTTTGCGACCATGGAATCACGCATATTGCTGCTCGTTGAGCAACGGGGGCAACGAACACCAGCTCGTCTTCTTTTTTGCCGACGGGGTTGTTTCTACCATTCTGCTTGTCGAGGGGGGTTGTTTCTGTCATCCAGCCAATCCATTCTGAACGCCTCGATTTTCGCTCCGTTCAATTTTTGTCTACCGTCAGTACAAGTTGGGCACTCTTGGGGGGTTTCCCGCCGAGGCGTCACGATCCGAGCTTACACAAAACATGTCGCCTTTGCTTGCCGAGCTTCCAACACGACGATTTACAACCCTCCGCCATTCCTCCGGACAAGCGATACCAACAGGTGCTCACCACCCTACATAGCTGTTCCAGCGCATCACATTCGGTTCTCCTCTTTTTTTCCTTCTGTTTTGGTGTTTGATGATACATTTACTCGCCCCACCTTGTGGCTGGTGCAGACACCGTTCTTGGCCTCCATGGCCCTCCTAACCCTCTCGTAGACCTCCCGCTTCTGGTTCTCGGGCACTCGGTGCACCCCCAGCGCCCTTTCAACCTCCTTTTCCTTCTCCTTGGCCGACGGCTGGAATCATGTCATTTCGTTCCACATTTCGTTCCACATGTCGTTCGGGACAGAGAGAAGGAGATCGGTCTTCGTGCGACCGCGACAGCTCCAGTCAGAAACGCCAGAGGCGCTTAAAATCACAACGATTGAAGTGCAATTAAAGGTGCCGTGTTTGTTGATCAAAGCACGATCCCGCTCTCCACAGCTTGGGGGGATACGGAGGGTCAAAACGACGGACTGACTCAACACACAAGAGCTGAAGGTGGAAGCAGGTCGTTGTCTGCGACAGAGTGTCGGTTAGAGGGAAATGACGCGCGTGGCTGGGCTTGAAAAATAATTGTTCCCACTGTTTTTCTGCTGCTACAACACCGACACGAGGACCGCAATCATGTCGCACGCGCGTGTACGGGTCCTTTGCTACGCAGGCTTCCGCAAGACACACGTGGTCAAGCACACGCGGCGGAACACCGTGCTGTGCTGACTCAGGAGGCTCCTCTGCAGGAAAAACTCATGTAGTCCTACTGGTCGTCTGCTCCACCATATACATAGTACTTCGTACCGTGTGAAAATGTATGCAAATTCGTCGTTGGCGATCGCAACTGTCGCATAGACGCAACACCGTATGGTCGTGGCTCCTCCAATTGAGTCGAGGACAAAGGGAACGAACCCTCTGTGGTGTATGGCTTCAACTGCAACAGCACGTATATCTCTCGTGTATTCCTTGACGATATACATTTCAGTTGTCCGCAAGCACAAGGTTGTGAACTTCAACAAACTTTATGACAATCACATGGCCCGTGTGTCACTCTCCCAGCTGTGGGAACATCAAGCGTCAGACTTTCTATTCCAATCGAGCCATCCTTGTCATCAAGTTTGTTGAAGGTCAGAACCTAAACCCGTTTGCTTGTGAACAATGCGTAAAATACTAGGGAATACCTACGCAACAATTCACCCCGAGGTACTGCGCGGCGCCGCCGATTAGCATCGGGAACATCGTGCGCCCAAAGTGTTGATTTCATCGCGACAACGTCACATGTAGAAGGCAGCAGCCATCTGCTCCTTCTCTGCTCTCGGCACAGCGAATAAATACGCGTATCGTTGGAATGCACATAAATTCAGGATTCTATTTTGGACAAGGGCAAGGTGCGCCGACAGCTCGAAACCACCTTCACTTTGCAGAGTTTGCACCAACGCCGGGTGTCGGCGCCTTGAGGCGCATGATTGGTCGCCATGTACAAGCACATGGTACGAGCCCAACCTTGTGTGTCAAGCACGCAGGGTCTGATAAACACGACCCTGCTACAACACAGGGAAGCGCCGCAATACCGAGCTAGAAATGGAATACCACAGGGGAATTCGTGGTGTAGTTGTCAATCAATGGTATTGCTGTGCTGCTACAGTTGCTCGAAGACGATGGTATGCACCACACTCGACAAGGGCGCTGTAGTTTGGGTGCCTACGGCAGTCTCTGCTGCGTACGAATACAACACGGGCACTCGACGCGAGAATGGATCTTTCGATCAATTGGACAGCTATGTTGTTCTCTCGCCACCACGTATATCCCGGAGGGCAAACCGCAAACACATGCCCGTGAATCATGACACCTACCCTTCCCCTTGCCGCCATGCCCCTTCCAGCCAGTAGCAGGGACGAAGCTGAAGAAGTCTCTCCTCCGATATGCTCTGGCTCGGGGTAGGCTGATGTCCCTGCTGTGGTGCCCACTAACGACGCATCAACTGACTTTCCAGACAGGGCTACAGGTTCCTCCTGGGGACACCTACGGCACACCAGGTGCATAGGAGAGGTCAGCCGGACTATTGGTGATCACCTGCTTCGTATCATGGATAGCGTGTCATGGATACGATACAGGGGTCTGGGCAACGGGCAACAGCCCACGTCTTGGGGTGTAGTCTACAGGCCGTCTCGGTGCAAATATTGCTGCACCCGTCGATCTCGCGCAGAGATCAAAAGTGGGCTGGGAAATGGTGGCAGATATTGGGGTACCACTGTAGTCTTTGGGCAAAAGACGGGAACCTCCCTGGCTCACCTCTTCGCACCGTGTCAATTAGAGAGTATCTGCTCCCGTTGTCCTGCTCCTCTCTATCTATGCCAGATGCGCAATGGTACACAGCCCGCCGCAAGAGGGGTGTACGCAGGGTGTCGGGGGCACCGCAGAATGTGCGGGACTGGTGCTGGGATACCCTGTACTCGAAGGACTACCGACACATCATTGCTGAGGAGTTGCGGCAGCCCAGCCGCACAGCGAGCAACGGGAGTAGGAGAGACAAGAGCAATGATAGCCGCGGCAGCGAGAACACGCGCATCAGGAGTAAGGTCGCTGGTACGTGGTCGTGATGGCAAGGTGGCGGGAATCAGAGCTCTCTCTGATGCGTCATTGGCATCATCTCATGTTTCAGGTCTGCCGGCACCGCCGTTGACATCAGCAGTGACTTCATCTGCTGCCGCTTCCGGAGTTCAGGCCTTTCCTGCATGGACAAACAGGTGCGCTATCTCTCCAACTCATGTCGCACAGGCGGATTCGTGCCCTCGGCGCACGCAGCTCGCGGCGTTGCTGTGCTGCAGCAGGTGGAGAAATCTCGTGTGGCTCTTTTTACCCGCTCTCCGTGAGGGTGCGGCGAGTTTCTGAGTTTGTGCTCTGGTCTCCCTCGAGTTTCCCTGAGCCTTTGCCACACCCCTGGCGTTCGCTTCTCTGCGGGCATTGTCCTGTTTCTCCTTCGTCGAAGTTTTCACACGCGCCTTTCCAACGCCACCAAGCAGACATGCAGTAGACAACAGCGGTAGAGGTATATTTCACGCTCTGCTGTAGCCTGCCTCGCCTTGAGGACCTGAAAACCCGACTGAGAATACAGACGTGGGGGGCGGGGGGCTCTGTTTGAGGTGCCAGTACATGTACTTGCCAAGAGATTTGACCGGCAATATATATAAACCGGTCACCGGCACTATTCCATTTACAGAAGTGGAGATTGAGCCTCTGTGCCGGCCGAACCCATCGGCACTATACTGGGCACCTGCCCTATTCAACCGGCGCTAAACAGGGCCATACACCGCTCGCCCTACTCCCCTTTTACTCACGATGTTGCTGCGTACGTTTGGGACTGGCGTATCTGGATATCCTACGCAGCTTTGGGTGGGAAGAACGAGGCGGTCCAGTATTGGCTTAGCGCTTTCGTTTGCTGTGTACGCTGTTGGTCGAAACGAATATACCGGGTCTGCGAAAGGGTGTGTGCTTGATGAACATCACATTTTAGTGTCTCCAGCCCCCCCCGCTCTCCCCCCGGCGTTTGCCATCGGGGTTGGGTTTTCGTCGCTTGGCAACGACGTAGAACAAGCCGCCCCCCCGGTGTTTTGCCATCGGGATTGGGTTTTCGTTGCTTGGCAACGACGTTGTCCCTGCTGAAGAAGCTGAAGAAGATGATAGAGTGTACGAAAAGCGCGGTCATGTTTGACGGAGAACTGTCTAAATTCTTCGACATTGAGCAGGGGGTCCCACAAGGTTGCACGCTGTCCCCAACATTGTTCCAGGTGTTCAT